TACAGTATATACATTAGTATATTTGGATTTTACGATGATTAATGGTTCTATACTAATCATACCTCTGTAACGAAAAATGTAATAAATTCTCTACACTGCAATCATTTACCTGACTCTCAAATTTGATGTCCCTTGATATTATTTTACTCATCTCTGTGTCCTCATACTGCAAGACAGGAATATCTAGCGTCATTATAGATTCATCCTTTTGAAGATCATGAAAAGACGGTGTTGCTACACTTTCTCCAGGTTGCGGGAGAAAAAGAAGTGTAACTTCTTCTTTATCTACAATTTCTGCATCGAAATCGATGTCACAGAGACAATTATTTCGATCCGGATCTGGCTTCTGCAGAATGATGTGTTTATCATGCATCATCGCCTTCAATGCGGGGTCTGTATTACTCGCTTTCATAAGAGATCTGAGCACGGCATGTACATCAGTCTCGTCCGGTGATTGTTTCACGTATCTTACACACTTACATCTTTCACCAAACACGCAGTACACTTTTTTTTTCATTTTGGAAAAAAACCGTTTAGTTTGTGACAGATCTGTCCACGAACTGTTCATTTCGATCGATTTTCGCGAGGCATCGCCTATTTACCCCCTACTTCAGTTATATAATAACCGTAACCAAGCGCACGGCGCTCAGCTTCAGGTACGACGTATCGGTAATCCGACGCCGTTGCGTGCCCCTTGACTTCTAAATGTCAGTTTCTAAAACATAATTTATTTAAAATCTTTTTAAATAATTACTAAATATACTCTCGTCAATGTAATTAATAATCGGGAATTAAAATTTTCTTATTGAATTAGTTATTTAAAAAGATTTTAAACAAATTACGTTTCAGAAACTGACATTTGGCAATCAAGAGGCACGCAACGACATCGGATTACCGATACGTCGCACCTGAAGCCGCGCGCTTGTTTAAAGTTGTTAGATGAGGCTTGAGCTTGGGATAACGGCAGAAATAAACGTGTTTTCCGTGATCATCTTTCTTGTATTCACGTAAAAGTTACAAAAAAGTATGGATCGTCCAGAGCCAGAAAGGACAGAAAATTGTTCGATGTGTTTCGCTAAAATCTTAGACGGCGATTTAATATCGCATATCGTACGCTACCACAAATTCGAACGACAGTTTCAAGTTCAATGTAAACACGACGGATGTGGTACAACTTTCAATAAATGGAAGACATTTCGCCAGCACCTTTGGCGAAATCACCGAAATAATGCACTCGAGACGGTGGAAGAAATAGAGCCTGTTATTCATCATCCTGATGTACATGACGAGCATGATGTAAACGATCGCAACGAAGGTAATTATTTTCTCAGTTCACACTTCACATAACAATTTTTAATTGATACTTATAAGCAAGGGGGTAACCACTTAATGTAATCATGGGACAGTGTCTCCGAAATCATTATGAAAATCGACAATTTACGTTACGATCACGCAATAATTGCAAAAGAGATAACCAGAAGCGTCCATCTCTGTCATTTGAAGTCGAGGAAAGGACGTTGCCTGTAAATTTACGAGCGAATAATTTTTTGTGGCCATCAAACTATAGAAAATAAAACCTAGAAGGATTAGCGACAAGATTTAGGAATCTTGTTGACGTTAACAAAGTCTACATTGTGGTACGAGGAAAGTGTGACTTAGAGATTCTGAACGACTATATACGCGTAGGGAGAGATGTAATTTTATAGCTATTTGTCCGAATGGGAAAGGTGGCTGGATATATTTTTTTATGTCAGTCACTTCAGCGCGGAAAAAAGTGAACGACCGATTGACCATAGGATCGAATTTAATCGAATCTAGAATTATGATAGTCAGGAAAAAGAAAATATCTCTTACACTCTTATGCGAGGGGCCACACTGCGCATGCTGTAATACATTTGGCAGTCCATTGTAGCATGATATTTAGAAATCGGAGAGAGGATAGTAAATAAAACGTGAGATATAGATATAGATATATACATATTTATATGTAAAAAACTCATCTATTTGTGTTCATGCAGATCATTGAAATCGTATCTTATACAAATGATTAATGTGTCATACGCACAATGTATTTCATGTTTTGCATTTCGATCTTGCATATCCATCTCCGACGAAGAATGTAAATTTTGGATGACAGCTTCTATTTTATTTTACATCTCTTTTAGTACACCTCCGTGGCGATTAAATTATACGATTGAATTAGAGCGAAACTGCGTAGAAACTATTTATACACAGGCATACATATGAAATCAAAGACATAATGTTTTGAGGAAATCTAACAGCTCTTGACAACGTCGCCTATTTTTAAACGTGCATAAGAAAATTATTTACAATCAGACGAAATTATATGAAATCATATGAAATCAAATGAAATCATGTAATCGGTGGGACAACATTTTAGCTAGTGGTTACCCCCTTGCTTATAAGTTTATCTTCTGTTAAAATTCAGATAATTTATTCATCTTTTTCTTCTGCTTAGTACACGAAGAGCCATACATTACTCCAATAGAACAACTTCAATGGCATGCAGCACAATTTCTTCTGCATATTCGAGAAAGCTGCAAGATTTCTCAAACTGCTGTTGATTGTATAATTGACGGTGTTCAGAATTTACTGTCTGTGCATTCGTCCATTATACTGGTAATATTCAGAATATAAATAAAAATGCTATTGCATACTTTACTTTATTAAAGTTTGTCATTTACAATATACAATTTACAATATACAATTTACAATATTCAATTATGTGTATTTACAGAATGATCTTCAGCAGCAAGTAGATCATGCGACAAATTGTCTTGATTTTGACACTGTGAAGGAGATGTATGAACAGAGGTACCCTTCCTCAATGCTGTTCTCCAAAGTGCGTTCGAAGTACTGTCTTGACAAAGTGCTTCTTGAGGAACTTCATATGGTGATGCCACAAAAACTCGTTCTTTATAAGGAACTTGCATGGGTTAAAAAGAAACAAACTCCATGTATACGGGACTTAGTCGAGGTTCAACGTTGTGCATACATTGTACCGTTTCTGGCCAATCTAAACATGCTCCTATGTAACGATGAAGTACGGCTTAATGTGGAAAATGCGAGGGCACAAGAAGGTGATGTGCTAAAGTCGGTGTTACATGGTTCTCATTACTGCAAGAACGAATTTTTTCGTAAAAATCAAAACGCCTTAGCCATAATTCTTTATTATGACGATCTCGGGGTAGCAAATCCATTAGGTGTCAGTGCAAAAAGTCAGAAACTATCCATGTTTTACTGGACTCTTGCGAATATCCCTCCTGAAGTACGATCGACACAGAATACAGTCCAATTATTAGCAATCGTCAAAACTGAATATTTGAAAAAAGGTGGGCTTCAAAAGGTACTAGAACCATTCATCGCTGATATTATAACTCTGCAAACCCAAGGAATCACTGTAAATGTCACGAAACAGGAGAAAAAGGTTTTTAAAGGATCACTTCTATTTTGCGCGGGGGATACTCCGGCATCTGCGCTGATGGGCGGCTTTAAAGAGTCCGTATCAGCTTATCGTCCATGTCGCCAATGTATGACGACGAAACACGACTGGAAGACGAATTTCTCAGAAGACAATTTCATTTTGCGAGACTATGCAACTCATGAAGATCATATAGCAGCAATTAGTGAACTCCATGTTCCGAAGAACACTATCGATTTTTGGAAAAAACGATACGGTATCAACAACAGAAGCCCATTATTGGATATACCGAATTTCGACGTGACTACCTGTTTACCTCAAGACACGATGCATGTCTTGATCGAAGGCATCGCTGTAATTGCTTGTCGAAAATTGTTGACATTTTGCATAGAAGAGAAACATCTTTTCACGTTAGACGAATTCATCGCCGCAGTCACTTCAACTACGGACCTTTGCAATCGGACGCACCTGGAGTTATATTACAAGATCATCTCCATGCAAACGATCATTTATGTCAAACAGCATCACAGATGATTGCCTTGGTTCATAGCTTACCATTTTTAATTGGTGAATGGACAATAGATAAGGAAGAAGAAGATATTTCTGAGCGAATGGAGTGCCACTCCCTTCTTTTACAAATACTGAATATTTGCTTGGCATACGAAGTTCGTCTAGAATCTGTTGACCTGTTGGCTCGTATGATAGAGACCGTTGTACATTCAACGGTTTCAGCGCCTCTATCCAGATTGTATAGTGCCAAAGTTTCATTTCCTTACTCATATACCGCGATGCATCCGATTTGGACCAGCACGACAGCAATGGTGTTTTCGCTTTGAAGCTGCCCATGCTTACTTCAAATCGTTGGTACCAGTCGTAAACAATTTTAAGAATATGGCCTACACCTTGGCCTATCGACACCAGGCACGATTATGTTCAAGACTCGCAACATATCCTGGCGCGCCCGCAAAAAAGTTCTTGTATCAAGGCGATAAAATATCTCCCGGAGTTACGTTGCTATTAAATAATCTGCCAAATGCAAGAATATTTCACAGATTCGTAGCTGAAGCTGACAGAGTCACATGTCTAATATTGCGGACACCTAAGGTAGTTATCTACGGTACCACGTATAAACCAAAGTCCGTTATTCTCATGGAATGTAATGATGACTCACTGCCTCTGTTTAGTGAGATCAAAGAAATTTTTGTACTTGGTGATCGTATATTTTTTCTTGTCACATTTCTTCTAACCCTGTATTATAATAAAAAGCTTAATGCATACTGCATTGAAAAGGGGAACAATAATTTTCAAGAGTTGATCACGGTCCAGAATTTGAGTTTTCCCCATCCGCTTTTGCATTTCAAACTGATGAAAGCAACATACGTTTGCTTGTTCAATCACGAACGAAATGAATTTATTGGATAAAATAGAATATTAATATACCAATATTTTTGCATCACGATTTCACGATTGCCTCATTATTTTATATATATGTACATAATAATATATGTATATGTATAATAAATATACATATATAATGGTTAAATAAAATTATGGTATAAAATAAGGGTTATAATATACTTATAATAAAAATATACTTATGTTTAAAATATACTTATGGTATAAAATAATGGTTAAATAAACTTATGCGTTATATACATTATAAACGGAAACATATATAGTTTATGCAAAAGTAAATAACTTTAAGAGAAATTGTGTTTTTATTGTATCTCAGTGAATATTAATTAAAAATTAGATTAATTTTATTATAAACGTTGACCCGATAACACGTTTAAAATGTATTATTTTTTGGCGTGTTACTCTCATTTAATGTGTAGCCATAATCGTGTGTTGCGAGGTACGATGTGTGTAACTGGGCATTTTATCAATGGTTTTAACACACTTTACGTATGTTCCATTTTGACTGTCATTTATGATACACACGTCGGAAGCGTGTTCCAAACATAACGTAGCTAAAACGCATTGAATTTACGCGTTACGGTGTTGAAACAACGCACCAAAGCACCTAAGCAACGCAGCAGACGCTCCTTACACACGTAAAACGCGTGTTGTGCGTTATTTTCACATACTTTTAACACACGTTAAACACGTCAAGTTTTTGCAGTGTAATT